GGACAGTTCATAGCTGCCATGTGGGTGCTGGGAATCAAACCTGGGTCCTCTGCAAGAGCAGTCAGTGCTCTTAACTGCTGAGCCATCTCTCCAGCCCCATATATATTATACATATACATATTTTTAAAGGCTAAAAACTCATTCAATTTTATGTCTTACAGGGTTTATACTGAGTTCAATACTGTATAACTGTATTAATTCAACTGTGAACCTAAAAATTTTATAGCCACTTTTGAAAGTGATGTATCTTTGCTCTGGAAATTGTTATTGAGTATGTTAAAGCTGTAACAGAATGCGTATATTTTTAAACCAAATAGATTGCTCTAGATTAATAGGATATAACAATATGAAGTTTAATTGAAACCTGGACATTTAAAAAGTATAAAAGATATTTTGGACACCTGGACAGATTTCTTTCCTTTTATTTATTTTTATTTATTTATTTTTTGGTCTTTTTGAGACAGGGTCTCCCTGTAGCCCCAGCTGTCCTGGATTCACTATGGAGACAAGGCTGGCCTTGAACTCACAGAGATCCACCTGCCTCTGCCTCCCAAGTGCTGGGATTAAAGGCGTGCGCCTCCATGCCCAGTATGATTTCTTTTAAAAAAAATTTTGTTGTTTTTACTTTATGTGTATAAATGTATTGCCTGCATGTATGTAAGTGTACCCATGTTGTACAGTGCCCTCAGAGGTCAGAAGAGGGTGTTGGATCCCCTGGAACTGGAGTTATGAACAGTTATTAGCCACCATGTGGGTGCTGGGAATTGAACCCAGGTCCTCTACAAGAGCAGGCAGTGCTCTTAACCACTGAGTCATCTCTCTAGTTCCCTTTCTTTTTTCTTTTTTAAATTTTAAGGCAGGGTCTCACTATGTATCCCTGGCTGGCCTGGAACACGCCATATAGATCAGGCTGGCCTCAAATTCACAGAGATTCACTTGCCTCTGCCTCCCAAGTGTAGTGCCACCACATCTGGCACCTTGATAAACTTTAACACGGACTCTTTAATAGATGTATTCTTGGTAAATCACTGCTTTGTTTTTGGAACAAATCACCTGTGTAGCCAGGCTGACCATTTCAAAGGTTTGATCTTCCTATCTCTGCCTCCCAAGTCCTAGGATTACAGACATACACCAAACCTGGCAAAATTACTGCTAATTTTCTTAGATTTAATAATATATTTCAGGAATAAAGGGTTTTGCCCTTATTCGTAGGTTATATAAGCTCAAATACTAAAAAGTGAACTGCCAGGGCTGGAGAGATGGCTCAGCAGTTAAGAACACTGGTTGTTCTTGCAGAAGACCTGGATTCAAATCCCAGCACCCACATGCAGCTAACAAATGTTGGTAACTCATGTTCCAGGACAGCCAACAACTTCTTATGGCCTCCGTGGGCATTGCTCAACACACGAGCACTTACATACACGTAGGCAATACACTCATACACATTAGATTTTTTTACAAAGTTTTTTTTTATAAAGAAGTTGGGAAAGATGAATGGAAATAAGATGTTGCTTCAGGCAGACAATATCTTACAAACAAAACCTGGAGAAGAAAGGTAGTTTGGTGGAGTGACCCTGCTCAGGTGTACAGAATAAGGGCATAAATGATGGACATATAGACAAG